GAATTCTCCACAGAAGAGGAAAAGGATACTGGAGATAAAGACGGATCTCTTTCAAAAGCAAAAAGAAAACATAAGAAAAAGCACAAAGAGCGACATAAAATGGGAGAAGAGGTGATACCGCTGAGAGTGCTGTCAAAGTAGGTGTGGCGCTTCCCTGTTGCTGGCCCACGTCAGTCCGTCACCATTGCTAAAGTGCAATTCCAATTTAAATTGAACAGAGTTGCATGTTAGCAACAGTAGTGGCCAGTAGGCAGTACTTGTCTTTCCGGTGTATTGAAAATAAAGTTAGGATTCACCACACTCAAACATGGAAGCACTTAATTTCCAAAAAGCCACAGCAAGTGCCGCCGTGTTAGAGTAGAGGGGGTCCCCGCATAGTACAGCAGACAACTGCAGCCGGAAGCGTCCTGTCCCTGGTCCCTGGAATGCACGCGGACAGTACAAAGACTCACCATCACTAAAACATGGAAGCACTTACTTTTTCCGTCTCAAAGCAAGTACATCCACGTTTAAGTGGTGGGGAGCCCAGTCTTGACAAGGTTTAAACAAGAAGCAGGAACACACTCGCAAATAAGTTGAAAATGTGTCGCTTTGGAGACACCTCCGCTGAAACATGGAAGCACTTACTTTCATTTTGCACAGCAGGTACTCCCATGTTAAAGCAAAGGTGATCCCTTCAGAGGGTCTGCACGTGTTGTCTACCCGTAGATAAACTGAATTCACTTTTACTAAAACAAGGAAGCACTTACTTTTTTAAGTAGTAAAAGGGCCTCCTTGTTAAAGTCCAAGGAAATCCATTTCCTAGGGAGTGGATAAGAACGCATGCTTACTTTTCTGGAGAAAAATTCCCATTGCCTCCCAGTCTGATTGCAGGTTCCAAAGAGTAGAGTTCCTTACCGGCATGGTGATGGGCCGTGCCTTCAGTCACTTGTATTTATACTGTTCTCAGCTCCTGAAGTCCTTTTGCCTTTTTATCTCCCGGAATCATTACAAGAGACTTTTGTTATTTTAATGTATCAGTGCTCAAGGAATGTATGATCCTGGGTGGGTCTGGATCCTTTTTTTTTTTTTTTTTT